TAATTTGTAAATAGCTTAATCTTTTAGGGGCTAAGGTTCCATAGTTCCTCAAAAAGAGCTCAATGTTAGGATAATCCTTAGTTTTCCTCTTCCATAAGCCCATGCAAATATCTGATGATAATTTTCTCCAGAAGCAGAAAACTAGAATTAATACGAACAATATTAAATCTCCAGCTAGTAACCGTGAATTTTATAGGCAGTGCTAAATTGTAATTGTAATATAGCAAATATATTTAAATTTGTTTAGGAGCGACCACGAAGGTGTCATTAAGAAGAGAAAGGTTATGGATTGGAGGAATTTTATTCAAACAACTAGAGTTCAGTGCTTTAAATATCATGGCATTTGAGAGAAGAAGAGACCGGTTGTGGTAGAAGATTTGGTAGATAATGTAGTCGTTGTCGTTTAAGATGTGAACTGAATTTCCATGGGCATGGCATGAGACTTGTTTTGGGCCACTGTCCCTCCTCCTATGTGAGGTGGCCTTTTCCAAGCCCAACAGGGCTTTTTTGTTAATAAAATTAAAAAAAAGGGTAAAAGTAAAGACAGGGTGTGAAGGGTTCTTTTTTATCTCTTTATAGTTCCATCAAAGTTGTGAACTCGTTTCACCAAAAGTTGGATTGAGCTCAAATTTAGAAGAGAGACTCACGACACAAGGAGCTACAATCTGAACGGTAAAGATTAGATTTTGAGTTTTGGAACTAGTGTTTTGTACCCATAAACAGTAACTTCGTGTTTTGGTGAAATCTTTCCAATATCTTTTTCTGGTTGGTCATGTTTTCATATGATGATGATATTCTTATTGTGATTATATTTCAAGACTTTATTTTTTATGTCTGTGTTTGCTGGATAGATTTAATAAGCTAAAATGAATCCTTATAAGACATTATTTGGTTGATAGTGAAGGTTTTTTGAGTGAATTTCGATCCCGTGGTTTTTCCCTTTGTATTAAAGGGTTTTTCACGTAAATTTTTGTATTCTTTATATGATTGCTTGATGCTAAATTTTTTTACTATATTAATGTGATTATTCTCTAATTAATATTTCATAAGAACTGGATCCTTAAGACGGCCGTTGGAGGCCTCTTGCTGGCCTTGGATATAAAATGGGTAGCTTATATTTAGGCCATCGCCACAGGATTTGGGTCCACAAGCTTGGTAATTGTGAATCTGGAGGGTCCATGCTGGCCTTGGATATAAAATGGGTAGCTTATGTTTAGGCCATCGCCATAGGATTTAGGTACACAACCTTCGTAATTGTGAATCTGCCAGTACCCAAGGCTGTTCTTGCCCAAAGAAAGAGAGTAGTGAAGATACAAAGGCTTGTTATTAATGAAGAAATTAAATTTTGATCCATTTGTGAAGGTTAGAGAGAATGAGTGAATTGGTAATTGTGGAGTCTTTTTATGGTAGAATGTTGTCCAAAACTAATGATCCAGTTTTTGTGAAATATTAACTAAAGAATTAATCACATTAATATAGTAAAAAAATTCAGCATCAAACAATCATACAAAGAACACTAGAAAAACCTTTCAATATAAAAGGAAAAACCACGAGATCGAAATCTACTAAAAAACTTTTACTATCAACCAAATAATATCTTATAATGATTCTTCTTAGCTTACTAAATGTATTCAACAAACACAAACATTAAGAACAGTCAAATCTTAAAATACAATCACAAAAGAATGTCATCATCATAGTGGAAATAAGACCAACAAAAAATGGATGTTGAAAAGATCTCACCAAAACCTGTAGTTACTGTTCACAGGAGCAAACCACAAGTTTCAGAACTCAAAATCTGATCTTCATTGTTCAGATTGTAGCTCTTTGTGTCGTGAGTCTCTGTTTAAAATTTGAGCTCGATCAACCACACGCGAAGCAGGATCATAACTTTGATGGAACAGTAAAGAGATGAAAAAAAAAACCTTCAACTTTTTTTCCACCCTTTACTTTTTTTCTTTTATTCACTACAAGCCCTACTAGGCTTTGAAAAAGGCCACCTCACATAGGAGGGACCTGGCCCAACACAGAAGGGAAGACTGTTTATGAGAAAGGCTCCAAACTGGGTCCTGGAAATCTGTCATAAAGTTACTGAAGTTGATCAACAATTGTTGCAAGTCCTTTTGTTTTGATCTTAAACGCATTTTTTCAGGCGGATTTCTCATAACCACAGGGCAACCTGAAACTTCTAAGAAGTTGTGCAGCATTAGCATGTGAAGTTTCTGTGTTATTTCTGATACTAATTTTTCATCTTAAACGTGATTACTATTGATTCTGGCTTCATGCAGGCGAGTTGTAGAATCTAAAACTCTTCTAGTTACTTATTACTTGGTATGATTGAGCTTTCCAAAAATCTTCAATCATGATGTAGAATCCAAAATATGAAGTTCTGCAGACGGCAATGCATTGTACACAATTTGTAAAATGTATTAACCCATAATTGGTTACATTCTGAAGAAAAAATTATAAAAAATGAAAAATGAAAACTAAAAGATTTCAATATAAATTGGATTTAGATAACACAGCTGCTACTTCGCTTTCTGTACAAGTGGAAATCTAAATACTGATCCAGCGTCATGAATATGACGCCCTTTTGATAACAGTATAAGTATCTTCTTGATCTTTTGTTTCTTTTTAGTCTCCCCTTCACGTCTGTAGTCGCCATAACGGCACCAGAAAATTACATTGATTTCCTTTTGAAAATAACAGTTAGGGTATTAGTTCTTAATCAGACACCAATCAATGGCGGAAGACTTGAGGCTAGTCGCCAACTTGAGGTTATATGTGGCAATGTTCAATTTCCTTGAGGAAGTGCAGAGTAAGTTGGATCCTTCAGATTTTAAGTACAACTTTTGCATGATTTTTGCAAGGGAAAGAATATTGACAGAACTGAAATGGAGGAAAAGCCTTTTCACACGATTGGCCAATATCCTGATCTTTTGAAAATGTTGGGGGACATCTTGAAGAGTCTAGTCGAGTAGAGAATGGTCTTGAGGAATCTTGGTCATGGAGAAATTGAAAATACATCTTAGGAAGAAGAAATATATAAGTGTTTGTGTGTGATTGGGTGCTCCTTGAGGTACTGTTTTCCTGGAGTTATTTCTTTCTTGTGATGGGCTTTTGCAATTTGCAAACTCTTGAATTACGTTAAATCTTGATTTGCATTTTTTTAGTTTGATTGTGTTTTCGTTGTTGTTTTCTTTGTGTGATTAATGATGCAGAAGACATTAAATTCTTCAGAAATTTCCAAACTTAACTTAGACAGCTGCTTCTTCGATTTCTTTACAAGTGTAAATCCCAATACTGGTCCACGTCATAGATGCCATTTTTAATAACAATTTAAGAATCTTCTCGATATTTCCTTTTATTTCAGTCTCCATTTCATGACCATAGTCCATCTATAGTCACCATGACCGTACCTAAAAATTACATTGATTCTCATTTGAAGAAAAGGGTTAGGGTTTTTCTTAATCGACAACCACCGAACGATGGAGGAGGAGAGGCAGAGGCTTCACCGGGAAACGTTAAGTTTTGTTGAGAAAGTGAGGAGCAAGTTGGATCCTTCAGATTTTAAGTACAATTTTCTAGAACAGTGGCGTTATTTTTTCATCGGGAAGATCAACAGAACTGAAATGGAGGAGAGGGTTATTCGTACGATTGGCCAGTTTCCTGATCTTGTGAAAATGTTTGGTGATCTCTTGAAGGAAATAGAAGAATCTGTAATGATTTCTAAGAAAGAAAAGAAGTAAGTGTTTGTGTCAGAATTGAAACCTCTTGAGGTACTGTTTTCTGCGACTTATTTCGTTCTTGGTGGATGTGATGGATGATATTGGCTTGTGCTTTGTAGACTTCAAAGACGGAAATACGTTAATTCTATGTTAAATCTTGATTATTACTGACGTAGAAGAAAATGCTGCAAAATGGTTTGCTTGGAATTTTCTTTTCAAAAGATCATAAATCCACTGCATACAAAAATGAGAATCATGTTTTGTCAATAAACTGCTGATTGATTTATTATGATTTCTATACTTTTCCCAAACATTTACATACATTTTTTTGGTAAATGCAATAGGCACTACAAGCATTTTTCAGTAGGCAATTCAATCATTGGACTTAAAGTGATAGAGGTGAATGAGTTGGAAAACAGAATATTACGTTTAAAACTCTTCTCATAAATTTTCTCTCACAATTCGACATAGCAGTTCACGATTGATCAACTTACAAATAAGTAGGCGAAACTTATAACGAGCAAGCAGAACTTATTTGCAAACTAATCAATCATGAGTTATCGAAATTGTGAGAAGAGATTGTTGGTGTAATATTACTTGGAAAATTAAGAGCACTGTATATGTGGGTCGAGCAAGTAGTTCTTATGTGCAACGGATAAAGTCTTATGTACAAAGAAGCAGTCAGTGAAGGTGAGTTACATCAGGTCAATGTGTATGACATCATATTTACTCTTCATTGGCGGGTTGCATGTGTATCAGTTATACAAAGGTTTTGTCTCTATCTGAGAAGGTGAAGCAGAGGAATCTGGTTATTGAGATTTGGGTTTTGAGGGTTAGTTCCAAAATATGTATACTCCAAATCATTGTCAATAGTTTTGTCTATTAACTAACCCTTTTTATTTGGCCAATAGAATTAAACGTACTATTAGTGTAAATTTTCTGATTGACCACTCTTATTAATAATTTAAATGGATCTAATTCAAAACTAAAAACCTTAATTGATCGTTGAATTACTCAATAGTGGTTATATTTTGAAATAGTATTATGGTTGATTTTCTTGAGAAATCTAATGACTATCTAATCATTATTTCAAAGAATTTATGAGTACGGTTGTAACATATATCATCATTCTCGCTTACTCGAATTGATTTTGAGTGATAATAAGAGGTTTAAGGACTAAATTCCCTCCGCTGTTCCAACCTTGGAAGAAAATTAGTTTAATTCTGAGTTTATTATGGGAGTGCATGGTAAATATAAATACAATTAACTAGAAATACATAGTTTGCATTGAAGTCACAACAACAGTAAATTGACCTTAAATTTCTCCATCCCAGATCTCTTCAATGGACTTGTAAGGACCCTTCTCTGACACAAATGACTGAATGATGTTCCCTCTCATCTGTGGAATTTGTTCTATTTTCTGACGTTCTTCAGCACTTAACTGCCACTCAAATATCTCAAGGTTTTCTTTGATTCTTTCTCTGTCAAAGCTCTTCACAACTAAACTTTCTCCTTGCTCGTAAACCCATCTGAGAGAAACCTTCACGTATACGAAATAAAGCAGAGAAGAAGTCAAGCATTAAATCTCGTCCTTCCACTCGAAAATATTACTAAAATAAGTTCAGATAACTTTAAAAAAATTGGAATGAACTGACTCCGAAATCTAATTACCTGAGCAACTGTCTTTCCTTTGGCAATTGCAATCTCTTTCAGCACTTGAGAATCCATGACTCTGTTAGTTCCCCAAACTACTCCTTTGGCTCCAACGGCGAGTAAGCCGTTATATGGATGCCTTTTTCCTCACAGAACTCTCTCAGCTTCTTCTGTTGCCAAACTGGGTTCATCTCCACCTAACCAAAATATCAAACACGCGTATTTATTCAGCTATATCAACACTAGAAACATAAAAATTTTGTTAAAGAATTGACTTCTAACTTGATTGACAGCCGGAGGGATTTTTGCAGAGGCAAGTAATTTCTCAAGCTTCTTGCAGGAAAAGTTGCTGACTCCTATGGATTTCGTAAGTCCAAGCTTTTGACACTCCTCCATGGCCTCCCACACAGACTCTATATCCATCTCCACAATATCTTCTGTTTTAAATGGAAACCCTGTGCCCGGTTTCACGCTTCCCGGAAAATGAATGAGATATAGATCGAGATACTCCATCCAACCCAAGATTCCTACAATGAAACAAAAAATTAAAAATTTTCACATAAAAATAGTCTCTTAATTAATGTTTGGCCTGATTACATTACTCGAGACTGTTTTTTATTGCAAGGACGACAAGGTCAAGGTGTCCATCGCCGCTCCAAAGCTTTGAAGTGATGAAAAGCTCATCGCGTGATGTGATGAGGCCAAGATGTAAAGCTTCGGCTATGGCTTCGCCAGGAGATTGCTCGGTCTGGTAGAGTGCAGCAGTATCAAAATGTCTGTAGCCGAGTTGAATTGCATGGAGAACTTATTTTTTTACAGATTCAGTTGAGTTGAAAGGAAATTCAGCGGTGCCAAAGCCTACAAGAGGAATGGTTCTACCATTTGAGGTTAAGGTAGCTACTGGAACAGTCACCATTTTTTCTAAAGATTTGAGGCTAAGGTTGCTACTAGAGGAAGTTCTGTGGCTTGAATTTCTCTAATACGATCGATGGCTTTATATGAGAATCACAAGTAGAGAAAAGATGAGTACAATAGGTGACTTGTGGATTTATTGCCACGATGATAGTGACTTTTGGTACCCATGTAGGCTTGCAGCTATTTAAGATATATAAGGTCAATATCAGTAATGTGTAATTTTCGTTTTACTGTATTTCCTAATCATGTGCATTATTGAGAATTTAAAAGGGAAACGTAATACTGGATTCATTAACACGTCTTTCTTCTTATTTCTGATGAATTTATGGTACATATATGAACAAAATTTATGGTATCAGTAATATGTATTTTATGGAATTTTATTAAATTTGATTTAATGATTTTTGGCGGGTCAAAGTGTTAGATTTTGAAAGTTTTTGGGAGTAAAGAATGTCTGAAACAAGTGAGGACTAAAGGAAAATTTATTAGATATGTTGATGAACAATAATCGCTTGAAAGAGAGAAAAGAAGAAGAGAGAGAAATAAAACTGAGAAGAGAGAGAGGAAAGGGCCAAGAGAATGTGATGGTGGTGGCTGGAAAGAGAGATTGTCGACGAACAAATTCCGGCGATCTGAGAGAGTGAAGGAAGATTTAGCAAAATGGTGATGGGGAGAATTTGCATGGATAGTCCATTGGATTTCGAATCAGAAGGACAAGCAGGGGTGCCATGAGAGGATTCTGATCTTTCTTCGGATCACAGTTTTTTAGCTTCAAAAGGTAAGTGGATTAGTAATTGCATTAACAAATCCATGCATCATCATCAAGTTAACTTCATTGGGTTAATGTTGATTTTATAATATATTTGAGTCAATGGGAATATCATGTCTAGTTTGGAATAAATTGCTAATACGCATTTTGTATACTTGTGGAGTATGAGCTTCGGCAAAGTGATGATCTATGGGAGGTTTGTATGTGTAGACTTTGAATGTTTAATTGTCTATGACTCTTTCCTTTTGCTGGAAATTGGATATTAATTTGGAATCTGCAGGTCTGATTATTTTGGGTTGTGTGGGTGTAGTGTGCATGGGATGTTTTTACTAAAATATTGGCGTTTTGTAATCAACTTGGTCGTTGCATTGGAAAGAGATCCAGTAAATGGGTAGGCTGGTTGGTTAAATTAGTTAATGAGGCCCAATTATTTTGATTTGGTTAATTAGACTTAAATTATAATTAGTGGGCTTGATAGTGTTGATTTGATTTGGTTCATTAGACTTAAATTATAATTAGGCCCAATTATTGCCTAAGTAGTGGGCAGGCCTATAAATATTGAGCCCAAATTATATTGGTTGGGTTTTTAGTTCAATTAATTGGTGGGCTGGCGTATTGAGAATGATGAGGTCCAGTTGCTTTGTTTTGGCTTTTGAAATGGATTGTAAATAGTGGCATGGGTTTTCAGTAGAGTAGTAGACCACTAGATCTGGCAAAACGGGTGGGTGAGTCGGGTCCAAATGGGTGTGGGTCTTATTAGTATGTATCCAAAACGGATTGATTTAAATAGGCCCAAAATATTGGACCTGCATCCTACTCTATGCGGGTATGAGTGGACCTGTAGTAACCAGCATTATTTATTCTAGTTTTCAATTTTTGCAATTACACCCCCAAAATTTCTGCAGTTTTAATATTTTATAATTACACCCCTACAATCAACTAAATTCAAATTCAATTACTCCAACGTCAGTCCAACCATCTCATTCTTGGAATTTAGTTTATTAAAAACTTAAAAGTTTCATCAAGTGAAGCCAGAAACCTCTCATTAATAATAATTCCACTAAAAAAAAAAAAAAAAAAAAGTTCTGATTTTTGCAGCTTCAACTTTTATAAGTTTCTTTCTCTAATTCCTATTAGCAAATCATGAACAAAATTGAGACGAAAACACCGTGAGATTTTTCGACTTATCTTATACATTTGTTACAATATGATGACTTTTATGATAATCATGAATCAGTAACACATCTTGTATACAAAACGAAATTGCAAACAACAGAGTAGTTGTAGAGCTAAAAGATAAAAGAACAAATTGGAAATAGTCCAGGCCATCTATGCACCTCTCATTACGTGGAGAATTCAAAGACAAATATATTATGGAATCAAATCAAATTATTCATATTATATTATGAAAAAAAAAATGCGGGTATTTCATTACAAGTCAAATTATTCAATTTTGAATTTGAAACCATTAATCATATTAATTATGTAATTAAATGATGATAAGATTGACATGATATAGTGCAATACTCTAGATTTCTCCATCCCAAAACTCCTCAATGGACTTGTAAGGACCTTCTTCTGATACCGCAAAATCAGCAGGATTTCCTCTTACTTGTGGAATATGCGCTATCTTGTGTAGCTCTTCTTCACTTAACTTCCAGTCAAAGATATCCAGGTTCTCTTTCATTCTTCCTTCATCAAAGCTCTTCACAACTAAACTTACTCCTTGCTCGTGAACCCACCTTAGAGAAACCTTCACATGCACCAAAATACCCCTCAAAACTCCAAAAAAAGAAAAAAAAAGAAAAAAAAAGAAAAAAAAAGAAAAACTAAACATATAATTGATTTTTATAATCCAAAATTATTAGTTAATTACCAATTAACTATTGTATTCTTCCATTAAATCATTAATGCTATTTGAAGATCAATCTTTTCCACTATTCTACTATAAATCGAAACAATTACCTGAGCAGCTGACTTCCCTTTACCGCTAGCAATCTCTTTGAGCACTTCAGAGTCCAAGACACGGTCAGTTCCCCATGGAGTTCCTTTGGCTCCCAATGGCGAGTAAGCTGTTATATTAATACCCTTTTTCTTACAGAATTCTCTCAGCTTCTTTTGCTGCCAAACCAGATTCATCTCCACCTTTAAAGAAAATATATTAATTCACTAACTGATGAAACAAAGTTAATTTGGTGAAAGAATTAATTGACTAACTTGATCAACAGCAGGAGGGATTTTAGCGGTGGCTAGTAATTTCTCAAGCTTCTTGACCGAAAAGTTTCCGACCCCTATTGATTTGGTAAGACCAAGCTTTTGACATTCCTCCATGGCCTTCCAAACAGATTCCAAATTTATTGGAAGAATCTCCTTTTTTTCAAATGGAAACCCCGTGTTGGGTGTCAATCTGAATGGGAAATGAACGAGATAAAGATCAAGATAATCCAAACCCAGATTCCCGCATTCAACAAAATATTAGACTAAGAGATCAAAATAGTAAGGAAAATTTTTAAATATCATTAATTGCTTGGCTACATTACTTGAGAGTGTTCTTAATTGCCGGGAGGACAAGATCACGGTGAGCATTGCTGGCCTAAAGCTTTGAAGTGATAAAAAGCTCATTGCGCGATTTGATGAGGCCAAGACGTAAAGCTTCAGCTATGGCTTCGCCAAGAGCTTGCTCGGTGCCGTAGAGTGCAGCTGTATCAAAATGTCTGTAGCCAAGTTGAATTGCATGGAGAGCAGCTTGTTTTGCGGTGTCACGAGTTGAGTTGAAAGGAAATTCAGCTGTTCCCAACCCAACAAGGGGAATTGTTTCACCATTTGAGGCTAACGACGCCAATGGAGCTGTCACCATTTTTCTCAAGAACCTTCACAAATGTGTAATGGAGTTGAAGAAGCCCTTATAAGTTATAATAGAGAGAGATTATATGCAATAAAATATTCATATAATAGTTAGAGAGTAACATGGGTACATGTGATTTCTTGTGTGAACAGATCATAATTTCTGATTTAAAGAATCATAAAGAATTGTTGACATCATTAAGGAAATCAAAACTGAAATCATACAGGCCATTGAAAAATAATGTAAAACAACCAACCAAGCAATCTTGAAGAATCAGATTTCTACCTAGATGTTTGAGAGTGAACAGGGTGTATTCCATGCATTAATGTGAGTCACGAAAATTAATTTAATGGCAACAATGTGCTAATAAATTAAAGAATAAACCAGTGTTTTAAAACTCAACCCGGGCCTTGACTTGGTCAAGGGCTTGGGTCTTGGATTGATCGATCCGACCAGTTTAACCGGTGGGTTGGATTTGTAACATCATCATGACTAGGGATGAGAAGTGAGCCGAGCAATTCACGAGCTACTGAGCTACTCGAGCTCGACTCGTGAAAAGCTCGAGCTCGACTCGATTGACTTCAAGTTGAGCTCGAGCTGGAGTGGCTCTTTTAAGAGATCGAGTCGAGTTTGATCAGAGTGAAGCTCAGCTCGATAGGCTCTTGAGTCTCATTGTGCTCAAAGGACCAAATTGTAAGTTTTGTAACTTTTTTTTTTATTTTCAAGTTTTTAAAATGACAAACAACCCCCTTCTCACAGTAAACTTGAAGATCGAGCGTGTTTGAGCTCGATTACTTAAGCTTGAGTATCCACCCATACTGGCGAGCTCGAGCTCGAGAGTATTCAAGCTTGAACGAGCTTGGCTTGAACTCGAGCTCGACACTGTTCATCACGAACCGAGCTCGAGTGTCCAGATACTCGGCTCGGCTCGTATACACCCCTAATTATGACGTAATAAAAAGAATTTGAATTCTAAAAATTAATAGGGCTTAAATATAATTTT